ACCTATTTATCTACTTGCACTTTGACATGCTTTCGAACTGCTAGGTTGGCAGGAGCAGGGACTGAGCAACGGGAGCTCACCCCATCGCGGGGATTCAAACCGCCAACCTTCTGATCGGCAAGTCCTAGGCTCAGTGGTTTAACCCACAGCGCCACCCGCATCCCACATGGGTAGTAGTAGAGTCTAAAAAGCCAGGGACACAAATTTTCTTACTTTTATATATATATAAATTTATTTGGTTTTCCAGATTAAAATTTGACAGTCACATACTCAACATACAACATAGAAACAAGACTCCAAAGACTCTCCTGGACTTCATTCCTCCCCTTTTTAACATCATTTTCTCCTGCATCTTTTATAATAATCCAAATCTTTCACCTCTCCATGGTGTCCAAAATTCACCATTAAACTACAAGTGTTACTCCAATCCTACTAACGATTTTAACTGGTTTTTAAGATAATTTATAAATTTCCCCCATTCCTTATTAAATTTTTGATTTCTGAGTCTTCCGGTCAATTTAGCCATTTCAGCATAATCCATCAACTTGATCTGCCATTCTTCTCTGGTAGGGACTTTTGTCTTCTTTCCATCTCTGGGCCAATACCATCCATGCAGCCATGGGCGCCTACATAAATAGTCTTTTTGCTCCCTTGGGATTTCGGCTCCCAAGGGACACAAATTTTCACAGCCCTCTAGCAGCTATGGTGACTCATTTAACAGAAGTAATGTGTTTAGCGATAACTCTGTGTATACTGTGCATACTAACCAAACTAAGCCCCCTGGTGTATATTTTGCTCTAGATGTGCAATATATTGGCATTGTTTTCAGCTCTCCTACCGCACTATCATGCCTCCTCTTTCTGCGGCTGCCTCTGTTGCTCCACTGTCTCCCAGGACCAGGAGAGGATTGGAGTGGAGTGGGCGGGGGGAGCAGAAGCAGGTGACACACAGGTGGAGTCTTTACCTACTTGTGTGCAGCTCAGGTAGGGGAGATACATAAGCCAAGGTTGGGGGCGGGGTGTCAGGGACTGGGCAGAGGACGAATGGTGGAGACTCGCTCCCCAGCCTGACCATTCCAGGGAGGAGGAAGAGGAAGACAGTATAGATTTACCACAGGGGTTGGAGGGATGTCATAGCTCAGAGGCAGATGAGGGGGGAAATTGGGAACTAATTGGAGAGGATGAGGAGGAAGAGGGGGCAACAGCTGATGGACACAGACCCCCCTCCCAGAACCCGGCGAGCCTTGAAAGTAGGAGAGCAAAGAGTTCAAAGACAGAGGACACATAGCAGCACCCATAAAAGTGATGAAGGAGGAAGTGGGAGAGACCAGGGTGTAGAGATTCACTCGGGACAACACCATTATCCAGGAGGCTGGGTTCTATAGCCTCTCTCTGTAAATACTGAATAAAAAGCGGATGGTAAGAACATTCCTTGTTTTTGTATGTTCCTGGACAACCGCCCTTGGGAGTTGCTGGCAGCAGCCTGACACGGGGCCTCTCTGTTGCGGCAACTGCCTCACCGGGTACACACCTAGGAGTAGCTGAAAAGTAGGACAGATGGACATGCCTTTTCCTAACTTGTAAGTGTACTTTTGACTTAATTCCTCACTCTGGACATTCCATGCCTGACAGCGCCATGACAGGAATGTTGCTGTGGGCATGTCAGGTTGCTGTCAACAAGCCAGGTCAGCCACAGGGCAGGCACACACATGGGAGGCACAGGTTGCAATTAGGTCTTTATCAACAGAAAATACCAACACAGCAGAGTCCTCCGGTTCGTACTAATCCGGCTGAGACCTTGCTGAAACTGAGCAATAGCTCTGCCCTCCCCTTCTAACCTTTTAATCTGGATCCCTCCCAAGCAGATGAGCACTGTGTCAGCAGGACTGGGGCTGTCTGCACTCAGATTGTGACTCTCAGACTTTAACTCTATCCTGAAGGGCTTCCTTCTTCTGACGCCCCCCCCCCGATTGCTCAAACCCCTTGCTTGTAGCACCTCCCAGCTTGTCCCTTCTCCAGACTGCTCTCCAGTGTCCCACCACCAGGATCTGGGATCAAAGTCTTCTTCTTCTGAGCCCTCCGGGGAGGGGCTCTTGTGCGGGGGCCTCCCACCACTCTTCCTCATCCAGCCAGTCCCTGAAATGGCATCTAGTGGGCAGTGCCCACATGGACAGCACTAAGCAATACGGGGCAACTGCTGGAGACCCCAGATGATCACGCTGCACAAAGAGTCTTTCCCCAGATTCAGTACAAAGGCAGCCTCCTATCTCCTCTTCTGATGACTGTGAGACCAGTGGAGAAGGGTGAACTAAGAGCTACTGCTAAGCTACAGAAGAGCAAGTTTCTTGCCTCTGGGTTCAGGCATCTTCCTTGAGGCCCAATGGGACAAACAGCTGAATTGCCTATCTCTCCCTGGGGCAAGGAACTACAAAAATTGGGAGCCGGGCCAGTGAATCACAAGTAATTAAGGACAACAGCTCCCCTTCTCCTATCGTGTAATAGACATGCTTTATAATACCAGAGGAAAACTGGCAAAAAAAATATGCACCAGGGCCTTTTATTCCAATCCACACTTCAAGCAACTGCTCAAGACCTCAGAACAATATATAAACATTGATGTACTTTCCCAAATATGTTATTTATCTCTTTTTTAAAAAACAACACACCACAGTTTCATCTCCTGCCATTCCCACTCTCTGGCCCATGTCCTTTGTTTACTTGTCTATCAGCAGACAGCCTTATTGCTTATCAGCAACACTTTAATGAAAGATAAATACCAGGCAAACTCTCATCAAGTTATTTCCTGTATGATATATATAGGAAAAGACATGGGTGTGTGTGTGTGAAATGCAACTAAATCCCAAATCTTCTAAGCAATTAGGAACGCTCATTAACTCAAAGTGCACGAATGATCCCCTTGACCTCGATGGATTACTACTCGTGTGTCCTCAATTCAAGCGTGATCATGCTGGTAAAATCAGAGTTTTGTGTTTGCGCCTTGTCAAAATCTCTTTGGTGTTATCTAATGAACACTGGGTTGTTTTGCAGCCTGCACTAAGGAGCACACGCTTGAAACTATGGGAATCTTCCCATGGACCTAATAAGTCTGTAATCAGGCCGGCTGTAGTGAGAGAGCTATCCTACACCTAGGAGCTGAGCAGCTCAATATGAGATCAGTTGTGATACCCCCAGAGACTTTAACTCTAATCCTCGCGGAAGGCTGGCATTGAGTAATGATGACTTAAATGATTATGCGGGAGAATCCAACATGAGTGCAGCATCAACAAATACAGACTTCACCCTTTACTGCCAATTCTCACAACTTTTTTAAACTCCTTCATTCTTTTTGGGAGATTCAGGACAAATAAAAGAAAGTACTTCTTCATGTAAGGTAAAGGTAAAGGGACCCCTGACCGTTAGGTCCAGTCGCGAACGACTCTGGGGTTGTGGCGCTCATCTCGTTTTACTGGCCGAGGGAGCCGGTGCAGCTTCCGGGTATGTGGCCAGCATGACTAAGCCGCTTCTGGCGAACCAGAGCAGCGCACGGAAATGCCATTTACCTTCCCGCTGGAGCGGTACCTATTTATCTACTTGCACTTTGATGTGCTTTCAAACTGCTAGGTTTGCGGGAGCAGGGACTGAGCAACGGGAACTCACCCTGTCGCGGGGATTCGAACCGCCGACCTTCTGATCGGCAAGCCCTAGGCTCTGTGGTTTAACCCACAGAGCCACCCGTGTCCCTACTTCTTCATGTGGCACGTAGTTAAACTCTGGGACTCACCCCCACAGAGGTAGTGCTGGCCACCAAATTAGGTGGCTTTAAAAGATGATTAGACAAATTCAAGGCTATCAATGGCTACTAGCCACGATGGCTAGACTGCGTCTCCAACTGCAATGCTTCTGAATACCAGTTGCTGGAAACCACAGGAGGAGGGAGGGTCCTTGTACACAGGCCCTGTGTTATGAAAGGCTTGGGCAAGGAGGAATGATGGGAAGGAACCAGTTAGGGAACCACCAAGGGATTAAGGTCCGGAGCCCATGGATTTGTGGTGGGACAACAATGAATGGTCAGACAGCGATAAGAGAGAAGACTGGGAAGAGGGGTGTTGGAAGCTGAAGAGTTAACAGGATTTAGTGAGCTGGGAGAATCTGTGACAGAATCAGAGACAGAAACTGAAGCACGAGGGTGGAAGGAGAAAGGCCAAGAGGCAGAGATTATTTAGGCTGGTGAAGAGTCCCGAGTGCCTCCCCCTCCTGTTGCGACAAACTCCCCTCCCTCCTTGTCTCCCAGAACCAGAAGAGGCATGGAAAGGGCGGAGGAGAGATTGGGTTACATGCAGACACAGTCTCTGATTGCTTGGGGGGGGACCCTGGAGAGGAGGGCATATAGGCAGCTGTGGGAAGGCAGGAAACTTCAGTCTCAGCAACTGCTTCACGGGGACAAGAACTACCAGAGATGTACTGCTGTGCCTATTAGGCCTGGCACTCCTGTTATTGTTGTTGCTAATAAAGAGTTAACTCCAGTTTGCACATTGTGATTTACTGCTGGCTCCTGCTTGTAGGCTTCCTGCAGGCATCTGGGGGGCCACTGCAGGAACAGGATGGGTCATTGGCCTGAACCAGCAGGCTCTTCTTTTGTCTCCTTGATGCATGACTGTTATTAACCCATTCAGTTAGGCTAGAATTCCCATTTCTAAGGAGAAACACTGAAGCTACCCAATAGTTCCATAGCTGCAATGGAAACCTGCACCAATCCACCTGGGCAAGGACGGGCCAGGGCTCAGTCTAAAAGTTATACAGAAATGCTACTCATGATTCAAGATGAATGGTGATTTTTGCTGCAGATTGATATATGAGAAAATGCAGTTACATTTTTTTAAAAAATTCCAAAATAAATGCTAAACACAATTTTAAACAGTTATTGTCCGTAAGCATTTGCATTTTCACAAAGCAACAGTAAGGTAAGAACAACAGGCGCAGAACCTGGAATTGGTGCTTCTATTTTTAGCTGGTAGGACTTCAAGGTGACTTTATTTTCCAGGTCCGTTGATAGCAGATCTGAATCTGATGCATCTCGGACGCAGAAGAATGTCTTCTACCTCATTCTATAGCTTGAAATATGGCTCAGGAACCATCCAGTTGGTCCAAGAATAGCCAATGAAAACACTGTTAAACCGATGACGGTTTCCTAAATCAAGGGAAAGAAGGGTCATGCAAGGCAAAACAGAGACACAAGCGAGGCTGCCTGAGGGGGGGGGGGAGCTTTTTGCCTTACAGATACAGCCAACACTATTGAACTTTTAAAGCTGTAATCTCAGTAATGTGATAGATGCAAAGAACCAACCACAGTGAAAGTTGATTATCCTATAAATCCAGTCACCAGCTGAAGTAGTTCATGTCAACTGAAAAGCAAAGTGTGATTTGTCATTTTAGGTCACTATGGGTTAAAAATGGGGGTGGGGGATTACTTTCAAAGCTGCGCTACAGCTTAGTGGCTTCGCTTTCCTTTTTAGCTTTTTGCACATCTTGAGGGTGCACTGCCACAGCTAAGCAGAAACACAAGCTTTTTGCACGAGATTTTTCACTGCTCCAGAGCTCCATATGCACTCCGATGGATACATGGAAACCAAAGCAGGTTTCCTTGCCATTGTCAAAAGGAAATGCATTGCTTTTTTAAAAAAAGTGTGTTGATTTCCAAAACAGTTGCACATGCTAAATTAAATTTACATACTCAGTTTGAGAAATAATTACTATTGTTTAAGCAGAGATACAATGCATCTACTCAAGGAAGACTGTGACCACATGTGTGTCTGCTCAGCCTGCTGTTCGAGTGCTAGCTCAGTGTTTTGTTGGACTACAACTCCCATCATCCCTGACTGCTGGTCCTGCTAGATAAGGATGATGGGAGTTGTAGTCCAACAACCGCTAGGGAAACAAGTTTGAAAAACACTGTGCTCAGTGTTGATGGGAAGCTTCAGGACCCAATAACTCATCTTAGGTTGTTCTGGGTGGGATTCAACTCATAAGTCCTATAGTGGAAGCCCCTGCAAGGACGTATGCTACTGCAATGGGGCTCCCCCCCTTCTCTCCCTGCACCCACTTCCCCAAAGTGCTGTGTGTCAGGAGATCCCCCAGAACAGTGCACAGGGGGGAAATCATGACAGGCTGAAAATCACAAGTTGCATCAAAATGTGGAGAACTGAATTTAAGATTGAAAAAATCAGAAACGGAGAGAAATTAAATAGACCCTTCCATCCCTAGTTTGGAGCCCCTCAGTTAACTTAAGGGAGCTGATGGAAGGAATTCTTTCCCCCAGGAGCTCTTAGTCCTATTCCAGAGTGGTCAGGCACCTCCCCAGTGTCTTTGGAGAGAGGCTTTCTGGGCATCCGAAAGGGGAGCTAGGAACAAGAAATGCTCCTTCATTAAGTTGTCTCAGGGATCCACACTCATATGGTTGTTCTGATCAAGAGTAGGTTTTCAAGAGAGACAGCTTGCCTTGCCCGATAAATAGATCGGGATAGCTCTCAGGTGACCTGTGTATTCAGCATTCATCCTGATTTGCTTGCACAAAATCAGCAAGCAGGTCAGACAGCATTGACTATTTATCGACTATTCGATATGATTTGTTTTCAGGGTGGTTAGACAATGTTGCCTCGAGCAAGAGTTACGCCACACTTTCCAGAGCATTTTCCTGACACTTTTCTTCTTGCAAAAAATCCAGTTCTAAGGGGGAAGCAAGCCTGTGGTGCAAGAGCTCCAAATAAAATTTCAGAGCGCCACTTGAATTTGCCAATACGCAACCGAATTTGATCCGGAAACAGTGACAATCTCAAAACGCTTTAGATCAGCTCCCATCATCCTTGACCATTGGCCATACTGGTTGGTGCTGATGGGAGTGGGAGTCCAGCAGCATCTGAAGTGTATCCCATTGGCTAGCTCTGCCCTAGACAAGGAGGCGACAGACAAGAAGACAACTTACCAGGGGTCCTACTTTGCCCTTGGCTGGCTTGCTGTGGATAAGACGAAGGTTGCTGTTTGTGGACCTGATGAAGGATAGCAGCCCAGAAGAACGGAGCCGGGAGCCTTGGAGTGCAGCTAGAGCCATCGTCCAAGCAAGCAGGATGAAGAGTTCGATCAACAGACCTCTGCCTGGTTGGCAGCTCTGGCTCTGTTGAACAGAATGGTCTTCAGCAACAGGTAAGCAGGAAGCCCAGGAACTCAATAGCGAAGATCTTGTACATTGAAGAGAGAACGTGCTTTCTAGCACATCTGCATAGTCTGTTGGTCAAGGAGGCTTCTGCTCTAAGGCTCAGTCTGCTGTTTCCAAAGACAGACCTCTGGATCAGTCGCCTCCCACAAGCTTATTTAGCAGTGTCAGCTGTTGTGCCCAAGGGATGAGAGGATTAGCCAGCTGCTGCTGCTGCTGCTGCTGCTGCTGCTGCTGCTGCTGGAGACAGTGGTACAAGTGAGATGGCTGGATAAAGTCTAGAGTTAGGAGCAGTCAGCCAAATATGCTGGGACAAGGCAGGTTCAAGGGTAAGGGAGACAGCCAAAGTCAGGCAGACACGAGGCTGAGGTTTGCTGTGGGAGCTGAGGTCCCCTAGCAGCACCCATTGCTGCCCTTAAAAATGCTGTGTACATTTTCCACTGTTATCTCCCCCCCCCCAATTCATTTTCACTTTTAATATTTGTCATCATACGCAAATCATAATAATTTTACAAATAGGATTCTCAGAATCCCCGAACTTCCCTCCACTCCTCCATGGTTTCCTAAATATTCTTTTCAAACTGCATCTTATCATGTTCTCCATGTTTTCTTAAATCTCAATTTTTATCGTCATTCCCACTTCATTGCAAGTGTTTTTAAAATCCTGCCAATGTTTTCAATTGTTTACAGTGTTCTTTCAAGTAACTTTTTTAAAAATCCCCATTCTTTATTAAATTTATTGCCCTCTTGATCTCTGATTTTCCCAGTCATTTTCGCCAATTCAGCATAGTCCACCATCTATATCAGCCATTCTTCTTTTGTAGGTAAGTTGTCCTCCTTCCATCTTTGGGCAAGTAGCATCTGCACAGTTGTTGTAGCACGCTTCCCACTGTTATCACCCCTCCCGCCCCCCTGCCCCTAAATCAAATAACCAATAATTAAAGCTACAATGTCAGCAAAAGGAGTAGAGAAGTGGAGCGGAATAAAAATGCACCTTTCTCAAAATAGTGAAACATAGAACATAGAAACATAGAATACCGTACAAGCAATACAAGGAAGACTAGAATTCATTATGAGTTCCAGATAACAGAATGGATTGATACCATTCTCTTTTATAACAAGAAAAATCGCCTTTACTATAATTGGCTCTATAGTGTGGAATACGCTGCCAAGAAAGATGCTTTAGTTGTGATTCCTGCATTGCAGGGGTTGGACTAGGAGACACTGGGGTCTTGTCCAAATCTACAATTCAGCAGGCCATCCTGTTCTAACTTTCAAACACCTTCTTTTAAAAATTCTATTCTACTAGGCCTACGCAAGCAATTAAAAAGACATATTTTTTTTAACATACTTGTTTTAAACTTTTCATATCATACTGCATGGTTTTGTGTGTTTTTGTTGTGAAGCTCTTTGATATTTTAAAATGAAATATCAGTTTATTTGTATAAATATTTGTATAAATAGATAAACAGAGCAAGCTTTAATTAATTTTTCGATCTTGGAAGCATCTTTGATCACTCTTACCCTATGCGTGAGTTTCTCCATATTCGCCATACGCTACACATACCTTCGGGTACCAACATGCAAGGTCTTTCCAATGTGAATGTGAGGCTTACAGCCACCAGTAAATGACCCAGTAAATGTTTATTGCTGCCATCATAGGCGCCAATAAATGCCAAGGTCCCTTCAGGGCCCCCCCTCCCCAAGTTGATGGGCACTGCCATTCAAATTGCGTGAAATGGTGTGCCCCCACCCCACCCCATTCCACCCCACTCTGCCCCTGCCCCGCCCTTTTAGTGACGTATTTTATTATGTTTCCAGGTCACTTCCGGGTTCGGCGTTGTGCACATGTCCACGATTGCACACATATCAGTGGCGCCTGAAACAGGTGTTGCCTGTATTGTTATTTTCTTTTAATCTCCAGCAAACCTGCCATCCTAAGAGGCTTGGTTTCCCTGGTTCATAAAAAGGTTTGCTGTTAATGACTTGCGGGCCTTCCAGCTCGTAGAGCAAAGGCACCCCCGATACGCCGTCGGTTCATTTGCACTGTTTGCACAGAAGGAACAGGGCAAGTTGTTATAAACCCTGGCTGGATTATCCAGCTCCCCCAGGAGCTTTGTTCACCATTTCCTCCCACTGTTTTGGTGAGAATGCTGGGAAGCGGTGACCTCTCAACACAGCGGAGGCTTGAGAAGCAGATTCCCAGGGCTCTGCATTCTTGCATTTGATGATCGTTGACGTGCGGCTTCAGACGTTTTGATGCCTTGGCGGATGGTGCCATTAAGAGGAAGCTGACTTTTATTTGCTCAAATAATTGGCACACATTTAAAACGAATGCTTTAGTATTCTGTTTCTCCGTTACTTTTCCTACATTTAATTTCATACACAGAGCAGTGGCACCAGTTTGGATGGCTTTGAATCAGGCTGTCAGTGGCTACTCGTCACAATGGTTATCCTCTGCCTCCACTGTCAAAGGCCATATGCCTCTGAACACCAGTTTCTGGGGGTCAAAAGTGGGGAAAGTGCTATCACACCCTCCAAGTGTCCCTATTTCCCAGGCACAGTCCCGGAACTACAGAAGCCACCCCGGTTTCTGATTTGATCTCACAAAGTCCCGGTTTTCCTTTTTCCTTCCCTCCACGTCTCAGAGAACTATTAAAAGTGGTGTGTGTGTGGGTGCAAAAAACGGAGTTCTGTTTATACTGAAAATTAAATTCCTGCACCAAATGAAGGAGATGGTGAAACCCTTCTTGTAGTTTTGAAGGAAAATGTCACCAATCAACTTTAATTTATTTAACTGCAAAGCTTCAGCAGCCAACCATTCTTTAGGAAATGCGTGGAGTGCTTATTTCTGCACTGAAATGGAACATTACACTGTCTACCGAGAAGTAAGTCCCACTGTATTCAATGAAGCTTACTTCAAGGTACCTGAGCAAAGACGGTGTAGCCTTCCACTGCAATCCTAAGCATTTTTACTCAGAACTAAGTCCCACTGAGTTCAATAGGATCCCTGCCTCCTCTGATGTGAATGACATCAGGCAAATGCAGCTTGAAAAGCATTGCAAGGGGGGATGACCTTGCTGACTTTAATGTGAACATACCCAGAGATCAAGGACACGGTCCATCCAGGCGAAAACATCAAGATATGAAGAAAGGCCAGTGAGGGGTATGGCCTGGGGTGGGGGAGTCCTGAGGGCCAGAAAGAGAGGCCTAGGACTCAGCTACATTAGTAAAGAAACAGCAATTTGAATGTGCTATAAACAGGCAACACCAGATGGAGCCAGAGAGCAGGAAATTTTTTAAACATGATTTTCCATAGGAATTTTTTCTTTTGTTATAACAATCTAATTTCTGACTTACTTATAGCATTCCCCACCCCCTTGTGTGTAGAGCCACCCCTAGTTGTTCACCACCCCTGCCCTAAACAGCATACTGGCTGAGATATCTAAAGGACCACCTCTGGCCAACTGAGGTCATCCCCTGAGGTCCTCCTCTGCGTACTCCTTCCTTCTGAGGTCAGGTTGATACAACAGGAAGGCCCTTTTCAGGTCGTCCATCCAAGTTCTGGAACACTGTCCCTCAAGAGATATGCCCACCTGGTGTCATATCTCTTCTTTTTAGGCACCAGGCACAGCCTCTCCTGCTCTCACATGTTTTAAAACGGTATTTAAGGCCCTGTTTAGGGTTTTCCCATGCATGCATGGCTGTTTCTGTCTTTGCGGGTTGTTTGGGGTTGTTTGTATGTATTGATTGCATTTACGCTGCAAGAGGTGGATCATAAAAATGATGAACAAAGGCGTACCTGATTGAGCAAGGCGTGAAGGGCAAACAGCGCTGGCTCTGCATACTGATCTCCTCTTCCCTGAGCCAAGAGCCTGAGGCACAGGCAACAGCCCTCTTCAACCCTATCCTCTACAGTGAGAACAGTATCTGAAGAAATCTCTAGTTAAATGCCACAGTTCCTCAGTCTCATCCCGTAGGTCAGGAATGAGGAACAAGTGCCCCTTCAGAGGTTGTTAGGCTGCATCCCCAAGACACATTTAAAGCACTATCATGCCACTTTAATAGTCATGGCTTCTACCCTCATCACATAATTCTGGGAAATGAAGTTTGTTTAGGGGGCTGGCGAATGAAACTCTGTGATGGGTAAACTGGAGTTCCCAGGATTCTTTGAGGGAAGCCGCAACTGTTGAAGTACAGGTGGTGACCATTTTGTGTATGTCTGATTGACATGGGACTGCTGATGTGTGGGGTCCTTTTGGACCCGGAAGAGGGCAGAATGGGGGTGTAATGCGGCGGGCGTATGCGTGCTTCACCAATGTGAACGGAACCCCCGCAAAAATGGTTGTCGCCTGTAATAGAATACTGCTTTAAATGTATGGTCTAAATGTAGCCTTACTCCAATGCCCATCAGCTGCCGCCAGCACAGCCTAACTGGAGAATTGTAACTGCATGTCAGTTGCTCTTTGCACTGGGAAATAGAACGGAGAGCATTGTGTGCTATGTGTGCTGTGTGTCTGCTTTTCATATTAATCAAGGCTCTTCTCTCCTCGCATCCACCTACCCCTTCTCAACTCACTTCATCCTCGGATTAACGCTTTGGACCACGTAATCAAATTGCAAGACCGAAGTAAGTAGCTTGCAGACAGTTCCTTAATGTCCATGTTGTGATTTGCACCTACACTAGAATTAACAAATAAATGTCAAGGCAGTTATAATCAGGGTGATAATTACAAGAGGAGCTAAATTTTTCAAAGTATTTGACTTAAATAAGATGGAATTTTAACTACTACATTCTTAACTATAAGTTAAAAATGAAATAAATTGTGTCTGTGGCTGGAGAATGGCAACAGGTGAGATGAAAGTGGTCTGAAAGATGATTTGCTTCCAATAAACACACAGAGAGAGATAGCTCCAGGCTTGAGTGCGTGGGCCTCCTTCTACATGTGGGGTGGGATGCGCATGGATTGGTCTGTCATTGTACAAAATTTGGCCATGCACAGACTGAGCTGCCCAGTGCAGATGGGCTTAGGGTAATGAATGAATGTTTGTTTGTTTGAATGAATGAATGAATGAAATGGGCCTAGGGTAAGCATTAACACCAA